AAAAAAAAAAAAAAAAAAAAAAAAAAAAAAAAATGAGGCGAAATATATTATTATTATAATTTTTTTTTTTTTTTTATGGGCTTTCACACCCAGCCACGGGGCAGTGTGCATGATGTGGTGCAGTTATTACGGCGCAAGCATTTTGGACAGCTCTTCGTCCTGCAGACAGCCTTTGAGGAATTCATCTTGGGTCAGCTGCCCGTCGTTGTTCTCGTCCATTTTGGCGAATATGTTTTTGGCCCGGTCTTCCGCGGAGTCGGCCGGACGGTTGGACGAACAAGCGCCCAACATATCGTAAATAGCCTACAAAAACGCGCGCAAACATAGTATGAATATTAAATATATACAAAAATCGTCATCTAAGAATCACCGTGTGGCCGTTTTCGAAAAAATTTGAAACTGATTATTACTTTTTTTCAATACGAATAGATTTGTGTTTCCAACTTTTTCTTTAGTTCCTAGGTTGCATCGATAGATTTGCTGTCGAAATGTCATCATGATTTATCTAAAATTGTTCGTGAACTGGCCACGGTATTATTATATTACGATCCATTGCCAGTTTCTATGTTCTTCCTCAAAAGTTGGGAAAACTGAGATTGGCCATGATGGTTCTTAGACGACGATATCGTTATTTGATGTATCGCTGTAGCTTACATTCAACGAAACGTTAATTTAATGAAAAAACTATACTAATTCAATTCGTTTCTACTATGACCCCATAAAAAATATATCGATTTAATAACACTAAATTAAATGAGTAATTGTAAATTATGAAATTGATAAACATATTGTTGTTATAAAAAAAAAATTTCAAAAAAGACAGAAAAATCTCCAGAAACTTTAGATTATTTATGATTATCAAACTCGGATACACACTACTCGGACTTATGATCTACCCTTCTCGAAACCTAAAAACCCGATGTCCTACCTAGTGCGCCACTATATAAGTTACTGAATCTGAATGAATATTTTATATTTAATCATTCTCTTTATACCTATATTATAATTTTTAGTGAAAGTTTCGTGTGCCATGATAATACACCCTATAGAGTATACAATTTTTTTCTACATCACTCCATTACCACTACCCACCCCTTTTCAATTCAATCATCCTCTTCCGAAAGAATATGCTAACGAAAGAACACATTTGGCCATAAAAAAAGACGCGAGTTTTCATTAAATACATACATACATTATTTAATCTGTTAATTTTTAACTGATCAATCAAGTGACGAAACCGTCATTTTGTATCAAATCATTATAGAAGTCAAAATACAACCGAATGCTTTGTTATTTCAGTCTGTAACGTTTGAACTTGAAATTGGATAGTAATATATTGTATTGGATTTCACGAGTTGATCTTTTACTTGTGAAACCATTCGAAAAAGTGTAAAAAGCCAAAAGTCTAAATTGTTAGGTTTTACAGAATAACGTTTATCGTAATTTATTGGAAAACGTCATATAATATTGTTGTTAAAGCATGTATTTAACCCCTGCTTCCCTACTATGTATAATACCTTCATAACTCCATTAAGTTCGAGATTTCTGAAACACTTCGAGTTATGAAGGCCGTAGTGTTTTAGGTGTACCTACAAATTATATTATACAGGATGACTGTTTTTTTTCCCCATTACCCATGAAAAATAATTTGTGAATAAGATATAATGTTGTAATAGAATCATTCGACAGGATCGGTTGTAGCCCTATATGTTGTTAAGAGGCGTCAGCCGATTCGGTCTAAGTGATATTTTTTCATATCCCGATTGTGACCCGTATAAAGTAAGTAGGAAATACCGTTTTCAATGGTTATTAAAACTAAATACATATTAACAATAGCGTTCAACGTGTTTTCGTATAAATAAAATACCGCGCATTTACATAAGATATCTATATTCGTCGCGAATAGTGCTTTCCAGTATGTAAAAAATAATAAATCAGATAAACTGCAAGATTGCAAAGCTAGTGGGACGCAGTTGTATATAATGTAATGATGTTATTATTTATTACTTTAGTGTCAGCGGTTGTATGGTTGTTCGTTTTAAAAAGTGTTCTAAGAATGGATGTTTTTGAAATGTTAAGTGAAAAAGATAAACCAATATTAGTAATATGGATATTTAACTTTAAATTAAACTTTCATAAACCGTTAGCAAACGAAATTGAAAAATGATGTACAAATAAAAAATTGTAAACGTTTTGTTAAATGATGCGAGAAAAAAATTTTAAAAAGCGCAAATAAATTTGACGTTAGTGATCATAATCATAAATCAAATACTGAACCAATATTGAAACGTCAACGAATACACGATGATGATGTCAAAAAAAAGGCTACTGAGAATTTTTGTGAGCGACGGTCGAAATTAAACCACGGTGTGTAAATAAAACTGATAAGTTAATTATAATAAATAAAATAATCTTATATATTATTCTATAGTTTATAATTTCACTTACTAACTAGGTTAGTTTTAAAAATCGATCAGTAACCTTAAAAAAAAAACGATTTTTTCTTTTTTTTTTTTAATATAAATACTGTATGCCTTTTATTTATTTATGGAATTTTAATAATTTGATCATTAAACTCGTTTATTTTATGTAACAAATCTTGACTGCAATTTGTGATATTTCGACTTCGTACTCGTATAAGACTTCCAATAGCAATTATAATGTACATAAATTATATATATAAAAAAAAAGGAACCGGAATATTAGTATAATATTTTATTTCATCTTATGGACCATTGTGTGTTTAGATGCAATCGGGATACTTATACTTGGGATTGAATAGGTCTATCTGATAGCTAGGTCTACTTGGTGGTAGGTAAACCTGTATTCGGGACCGCAATCGAGCATCTCCGTTGTTAAGTACTTACAAAAAATATACCTACCTGAACAATTTTCGTCATCTCTTGAATGTCGATGACACCGTTGCCGTCCACGTCGTACATTCTGAACGCCCATTTTAGTTTTTCTTCCGGTGTACCGGATGACGTGACGTCTATGGCTAATAGAAATTCCTGTAACCAATTGAAATTCACGAGTTTTAATAGCGCCCGTTGTACGTCGAAAAATTGGAAGTAGAAGAATGATAGGAGGTGGTGGGGCGAGGGTTTAGTAATATAAGGACAGGAGCGACCCCATGAATAATAAAAGTTGATATTTCATTGAACGATCGGCAAAAGGGTCCGAGTGAAGTTCATTTGACGACCTTTAACGGACGAGCGGACGAACGACATATATATGTGTACACGTGGGTAAATTCAATAAAATCGTTCAGGAAATGTTTCTTATTTTTTGTTTTATTATTATTCCCCCAATTGTTATAATATATTATACAACATATTTTGAACGGAATATTATAGAGATAGTAAAATAGTGAATGTATCTATAGGTATGATATAGGTATAGGTAGTATAGGTATATACTATGTATAGAGAGATAGGGACTTACCTTAAAGTCTATGTAACCGTTTTTGTCCATATCGAATGTCCGGAACACGTGATCGCAAAATTCTTCGGCGTTGCCGCTGGGGAAGAACATTTTGTACATGTCCACGAATTTGGCCGGTGTCAAACGACCGTTCGGACAGTCTTGCTGAAATTACAATAACAAATATTCACGCATTATGAAAAATATGTTGAAAATATTGCAATAATAAAACTACGTAAGACATACATATTTGGACAAACAGAAGATTGGTACGGTCTATTGTGTTTTGAATAAAAGAAATGGAATAGGCAGAATAGAAAATATTTTATTTTCAGAGGTTCAAAAAATGTGTTCAAAAATAAATTGAATATAAATTTATAATACATAATAACAGTTTTCTCGTAATATTAATTTGAAGTCCAAATGAAAAAGTTGCACAAGTTCATAGTTTGAAGTTTAAAAAATGTGCGCAAAGTTAAATTAAATATAAATTCACAATACCATACGATAATAGTTACAACAATAGTACAATAATAATAGCTATATTATTAAACTTCTCAGTTTTATATTATGCACTCTCGTCTTCGGTCTTGAATTTGCATATTGTTGAGAGTTTGGGTATCCGCGCTGTTTTGATTGTTTATTTAATTTTTCGTGGGCGAGATAAAAGACCACGGTCATGGAGTGTAGATACTTTGTGATTTGTTTTATATGGCTTAAGAAACCCTGACTTTTAACGATCGTACCAATATTCCATGTTCAAAACCGCACCAGTTTTCAGACAATCAGTTATTCGACATGGATATTGTTGGCCCACGCCACTGTAAACCTTTTTTTTTTTAATTTTAATTTCTAGAACGATACAAAATATAGTTTGGCAGACAACCGGTCGGGAACCGCTGCCAAATGATTTAATATTATTAGTATAATCCGATAGCGACTATACCCGAACGTACCGGGGGGAGGGGGGGGAGGGGCGATCACCGCGTACCGCCGCTATATGAACGTCGTATACAGCGCAATATTATTTTGATCGCGCGGACAATTTACATAAACCGATTCCGCGATTTAGTGGGCAAATTCCATACGTACGTACATGTGCGGATGGATTATAGCCGGGCGGATATATAGGTATCTAACCGATAAACTATAGGTACACGAACATCGCATCGTACGATATTATTATTGTAATCGTCGCTATCCGGGGCTTAAATACACGTCACCGCGTCATGTCCAATAATAATACATAGGCGTGCGTTCGTAATTAAATTTCACTCGAATGTTGCGTACACACGTATAGACGAGCGTATACGTACGACGATGACGATGACGATGATGGAGGGTCGCGATATAATGCGCGAAACCGTAAAACCTCGTTCGGAGCAAACGCATATATTACGTATGGGTAAATACGAGCAGTGTACCTATAATACGGTATATAACAGAACGGTACGATATCGTTATAGCTGTGCGCCCTGTAATAACAATAATAGGTTTTAATACGCGTGTTTCGCGTCTAGCCGACAAACCAGTCGGTTATTGTTGTTATTCGCAAACGATTCGTGTATCATAATTTAATAACGCGTAATATTACTCAAACGCGGTCTATAGGTCCCCGCACATTTTACCCCGAGTATTTTCAACACAACAGAACCGTGTGCATATGTCGTCCGAACGCCGCAGCTTGGGAATAACTCGGTTATCAGTCGTTCGCGGTTTTTTCGCATCCGCATAATACGATAGTGACACGGTTCGCAGTTTTCGGGAGAGTCAAAAAAATATTTATTTGTAATTTTAACTCTTTTTTTTCTTTTGGTTAGCAATAACTTTTTTTTTGATCGGAACAGGGAATTTTTTCATTGAGTACCTTTTTTTTTTTTTTTTTTTTGTCGTTTACACCATATAATTGAGAAGACAAAATAAAGGTGGCGTTTATACCCCGAACTTAAAATTCGAATTGTTCGTTAAATAACAGTAACAGCTGTTTTTGCGCACTCGCAATGGACAAAACACTCATTTCTCCATCCAATAGTGAAGCCGTGATGGTTAGACCGTTTTGCCATGTCACCATAGACATTAGATATCATACACTTGGTTACGCGTTATAATACCGCAATATCGTCGTCAATTATTAATTATTATAATCAAAATGTGTTATAAGCTATCGGACTGTTTTATGAAACCATTTCAGTGTACGTAAGAAACCTAACTTAATCTAAGAGATAAGTTGATAATACAATTGATGTAATAGTGCACACTTTTTATAGAGACTGTCTAGTGACTGACTCGACAGGTGGCTAAAAATAGATCCAGAGACTTATTAGTTTTGGCTACTGAAAGCATAAATGGCTTGTTAAAGTTGTAAATGTAGTAAAAATAATATACGTGTTAAATGATATAAATGATGTATATATAAATATATGATTAGCAAAAGTTAAACTACTCTATTATTGCAGTTTTTATTCAAAATATCCGCAATAAATAAACTGCGTACAAAATACTTGTACATATATTTCCAAATAACCCCCACACCCGACTTACGAAAATAAATCTGTTCAATTCATCAATGACGGATCCAGGGAAGAGAAATAGATCATTTGGCCCTCACCTCACGAACAACGTAGTATAATATACTTTTTTCTTGTTTACGGCAAAACGCATACCAATCAAGTTTCATTGTTGCGGATGGTTTCACCCTCTACAAAAAATTAAAGTCTGGGCCCAACACTCCAAATCATAATATATAATAATATATTGTATTATTATTATTACGTTATGATGGCGTCGATGCAAATTTTCACGTATAATTTCGTTTTCAAAATTAATAGATACGCAATAACAATAATAATGAATGTAGGATTTGAAAGAAATGGCGCGTTGTTGTTTTCGTTGACGAGGTTACCGATGAAGCGATGTTCCCGGCGCCAAGGCTATACTGACGCCGCGACACACTGTCGCCGTTCAATTGCTGAAACGTCAAAAGATCGAAAGAGTCGAGACAAAATAATACCCGTACGCGTATTATAATATTACGTCATAATAATAACTTTGGTCGTGGTTTTGAATATTGTCGAATCAAATGCGCAGTGTAACGGAATGCCGTTTCGTCGCGTCGCCGACTACTTTGAAAGTTTTACGCCAGAGACGATGATAACAACATAATAATTACGTGTTAAACCAAGTTATTCGAGCGAAAATCGACCGAAGGGAAGATCACACGGAACATCACTGTCACCCTACAGGAGCACGGCAAAGTCAATTTTATACAAGGGCGGAGCCGAGTTCATTATTATAAAACTTGGTTAATTCTTAATCTTAAGTTTTTAATTTTAAATATTTCAGAAAAACTGTAACAGGGATCGCCGTATGAATAAGAATATGTAGTCAGTTGTTCCCGCCAGCCGTAGAGACGACTAGGCTTTTTAGGTAGAAATTGTAGTAGAGAATTAGTTCAAAAGTAGAGTACAGTTTCATACCGGATACGAGTCAGCAAACGTGGCAAACATGTTAATGGCAACTACACTGCCACACGAAAGACAAAATAGAAATTACCGTACTATACTATCAGCTAATGTTAGGTGGAAAAAATGACAAATAAATAGGTGCTAAATAATGTGTTGGAAAGAAAAACACATAGCGACATGGTGAAGTTTGATAAGTAGACGAAACGAGTGGATTGTATTTAACATATGTATCTAGTGAATTCAACGTATTGTTATATGATAATTCATATGAGATAAATCATCTCATTGAAAATGCCTACGGGCGTGTAAAACAAAATAAAATAATCAGACACGAAGATCTGTTGAAATTTAATTGAAGGTCTTTCAATCTAGGGTAGAATATAAAAACAGCTCACGAAAGATCAAATATTCATATTTACAAATGACGAGGAAAATGGACGAGCGGGCAACAAAACGGATGGAGGCGTAATGATGCGAGTCAATCTAAGGGTTGATAACAAGAGAGAGAGGAGAATTCGGGAATCTAGGAATAAAAAACGTTTCGAATAAAGTACTGCCGCGGGATGAAAATCCGCATTATACGGCTCGAAAGTTTTCCGGGATTTTCACGAGGAAAGTGGTTATAGACATAAAATTGAAGGTTTATAAAACCAATATGTTTGTACGATGCACTTGGAATTTAAAAAAAAAAAAAGTCGATTATTTTTTTTCGTCCATTTGGGAGGAGCGTCGGGCAATGGACCGGAGAAACGACTCTCGGAGAAAGGTGACGATAATAATATTGCCAAAGTTCACCGAGTATACGGTAAAAAATAATACAGAGAAAGAAAGAGAGAGACGTAGAGAGAGATACCAATCTCTGTATTAACTCAGGAAACGGAAAGTTTTCCGGGTGACGACGAAACGGCGCGGCGGCGGACTGCAGAACCGCGCCACGATAAAGGTATTAAGGATAAAGGTATTATATATTATAATACGGAATTTCGAGCGGATGATCCTGTGGGACCAACGATTACCGCACTATCCTCTATACCTACGCCAACCGTTACCACCGCCAACGACCTGGCAAGGCTACCGACCGGCAGTGGCGGCGGCGGCGGCGGTAATGCACGCTGTTACCACGGTATATAGGTATACCGCAGTTGTGTACCTGCTGCTCGTAACTACTACCCGGACACCGTGTATACATATAAATGCACATACACACACACACACACACACACACACACAAACATCCGCTGTATTATATAGGCGATGGTCGCGCGGCCCGGTGTGTTTTCCCGGCGGAAACCGTACACAGGGAAACTGCGGTGTTGTCTTTTATAATATACGGACAGCGCAGCCGACACGACGGTAGCGGAAAGAGGAGATGGCCTGCTGCTGCTGCTGTTGCTGTGGGGACCGGGAGAGGACAGGGAGATACCTATCCAAAACGCGTGGAGACTTCTTACCCCGTCGCGGGGAGAACTCAATTAATCATTTTCCCCGGGGTTAATGCCATTAATCTTACGAAACAAAATCCAGAAAAGGTTAATACCACCACGCATCTCTTCCGTCACCCCTCTCCGGTTCGGTCGCTTTCCAACTCCGACCGATCGCTGCAAGAACAGCCGAGAACGGCGGCGGAGTTTACAACGATCGAGGTATAAATTATTCGCACGACGACGGCGACGAGCATCCTCCCCCGTATATAAATACGTATGTATGTATAATATTATATATGTACAGGTACGATGATATCGTTATTATATAAGGGTGATGCATCATATCGTATACTGTTATAGGTTTTCGAAATATCATAATTATTATGTACCTCCCCCCCCCTAATCAGTCGTGGCGTATGCTGAATAATTGGATTATTATGGATTATTGATGGGCCGAATTGAATTTAACTTACATGACCACATACCCGTCACCCACCTCTCGTATATACTAATAATAATATTAAATCTCGTTAAAACTCATGGTGACCATATTCTATTAATAAAAATACACAACTCAGAATTCTATCGAACAAAAAACACTTAAAAAAAATAAAATCGACCTGAAAATGTAAATCACAAATTTCACTATAAAATATCACAAATAATATACGTAAATCCAAAAACGGATTGCTGTAGGTCGAGTTTATGCACAGCACTTTAGACTCACGAATACTGCAATAGGGTGATCCGACTTAAAATCAATTAAAAACGATTACCTCAGATAGATGTCAAGTGGTTTTTTTTTATAAGTTCTGAAAAATAATTTATGATTAGATTTTAAAATTAGTCGAATGTTTAAAACAATTTTTGGAATTTATTAAATATGACGACAGCAGCAGCTTTGATCAAGTATAAATGGTGTTATCTGTTATTATATTGCATGAATATTTATTCACCGGAACTTGACCACTACTTTTGTGATATACAAAAAACATTTAAAAATCGTTTTCATTAACTTTGATGATGATGTTGTTTAGAAAATTAAATAATTAAAAACCAGAACAATTTTCGGTAAACTCTTTGAGCAAAATCTGTTTATTTTATTTCTTGATAACATAATAATATAGCCTACTGATTTATAATCGTAAAAAAACCGCCCAAAGTGTCTATTCGTAATCGACTAAGAATATTGAAAACGCATAAAACAAGTGCTAAAAAAATAACACATTACAAGACGGTGCGAAATGCATAACATTATTTACATGAGGCATCTGTTAAGATTCATCAATGAAAAAAAATAAAAATAAAATACGAATAAAAAATGATCGCCAATAAAATAATTTCGCGGCCGGAAATCAAACACCGGTCAGTATAATTCACGTATTATACCGAGAGCAGTGTTTTACAACTGAATACTGTGAGTCGTAATAACAAAACTTTTATATTTTTTATGTTTTATCTTGATAAATATTTATAAAACATAATTTACCGGGGATAAAAAAACATTATGTCAGGATTGCTCTTTTCATCATTATTTTTTATTTTTTAATACTTTGCTATTTATAATATCTACTCAGTTGGCAATTTTAATTTTTACTTTTTTTTTAATGGATATTTCTAACAGTTTGTGCGAGTGTTTCCGGATTAAATTTTTAAATAATTCTATTATATTTAAACGCTTCCATTTTTAAAGTTTTTGTTTTATACGTTGCGTCGTCGTATGGAATATACGCATTAAAAAAAAAAAAACTTTCGAATTATGGAACTTTTATTTTATAACAATTATTGCTATAATGCCCCGTAAAAGAAACGTTTTTAAATATCAGCATTATCCATATTTTTGAAATTTAAATAGCCTATAATTTTACAACACAGTGTTTGTGGACCGATCTCTGTTAATATTCAATTCTTCTTTCCATTCTGATTTTGCACGTGGGATTCATATATTTAGAGAAAAATATATTTTTTAATTTTAATCTTTAATAATCACAAGAAAAAAAATCAATTTATGTTTGTCAAATCTTAAAAATGTTCAAAACAGCCACTTTGTATTATTTATTGTTCTATAAATCTTATTGCATTGTACATAATATTATTATATAGGGTGATTTTTTAAGCATGCTCACCCAATTTTTGTGGTTAAATTATGTATATATTCAAATATTGATTTTGGGAATTTTTAAGTGTCGTTTAAAGGCGGTACTATACTATACTTTGGTTTTTTAAACAAGAACATGATTTAATGCATACATTGTCTAACAGATGAGTACTTGAAAATTCTGATGCACCATAGTTGAAATTTAAACGAAAAGTTTCCGTATTGTTCTACTTTATATAATAAGGATGATAGCCTATTAAATACATTTCGAATGGGTACGAGTTTGGTAATTTTAATTAGGTATTCAACATAAATTATGTTTTAATGGTTACGACTTGGTGATGTATACTCGGATAATGTTTTAATACATACTAATGCTTATAAATTTACACTACCAAAATCTTTCCCATTTAAAATATATTTAATCGACTAATTTAGTATACACAGTATTTAAAGTGGTATTCGTATAACTCGGAAACTATTTGTTTAAATTTCGATTAAAAAGGTCAAAACGTTCAGAAAATCGACTGATTCACAATTTTCACTTAAATATAATATAGATTCTCATTTGAAAATTAAAGTTGGTATTACAATAGGATATTCCCAAAATGTTGTAAACAATTTAAGTATTTAAAAATATCGTCTTAAACAACACTTGGAAATTAAAAAAAAAAAATCATAATTTGAATGTATTCATAATTTAACCATACAAATGGTAAGAGAATGCTTTAAACATCACTGTATATTTGTATAGTGTTTCGAGTGTGATTCCTTATTGCGAAAAGTATAGTAGTAACCTATTGAATATAATCGTTTTCATATTCCTTGGATATCCCAGTGATTCCTCAGATTTCATCGGGTACATATGTATGTTAAATAAACTAATTTTAAAATAATGTATATCTGTTATGAAGTGTCTATTTTCAAAATTCTAAAAAACAAACGTTAAAATGTTATTAAAATAACATTTTACTAGGTAAACCTAGTAAACTTATGGGGTAAAAATACAAATGCAATTTTGCATATAATCCTATGGAAAAAAAAACTGTATACATAATAACAAAGATAAAATAGTATCGGAATAACATGACTGTATACCTTGTATAGAATATACCTTCTCGCATAGTCAAATAGTCATTTGGAGAATTAAATAAAACACAACTTTTTTTTGTTTAGTATAAAGACTTAATATTTAATTATTTCGTTTCTTATTTTTTTTTGCCTATTAAAACTTTTTCGTATCAAATGTCCCGTGTGTTTATATTACAGAGAATGTACCCCCGTTTAAAATCAGATTTCTATGAACATTGAAGATGTCACGTAGAATAAAAAGTTTCCACAGGATGGCAATGATTATTATTCGGCAATAAAAAGAACCTTTAATATATTGTAATCAGTTTGTCGGACTTGTACAATACATTTCAGTCGAGCGGATTAAAGGTTTCGAAAAACCATTTACTCGCTACCATACCGAACTTTCTTTTAAACAAAAGTAAAATGTTTTGTAAAAAAGTGGTTTTTATTTTTAAAAAATATAATTACAATAATTTTGATGGGTATTCGATATAGCTAAGTACTGTTTTTGAATGTTCACGTATGTTAGGTTAGGATAGGCAAGATTAGACAATAATTAGGTACAAAGATATCATATATAAATATATTATGTACAAAGTTTACAAAAATTTGAATTTTAGAACTTTATTAAAACGAAAAAAATGAAAATCATACGATCCGTGAACGGTTTTTATCTTGTCAATTACGAAAGACATTAATACCTACTACGTTGACTTTTTTCGGTTCAGCCGGAGGATCATGAGTTCCAGAGTGGATTAAAGTTTATTTTGTATTATATAATAATGTATAAAGAGAAAGTGAACAATTTGTCAGATATAAAAATGACGGTTCTTTTGAGATTAAAATGACATCTGGTGTTTGTCTCTCGGTGTCTCTCGCTATTTTTTTGCTCTCTTTCTCTTGAGGATAGTTATTAAACCTTTATATATATATTTTTTTTTTTATGACTCGGGTCATTAATAACGTAAGTCAGGATTTTTTGCACTTTTCCTTCTTTTTAATAGATAACGAAGAACGTCCGTGGTTCATTTTCCTTTAGAAAAGGTATTTTTCATTTTTTTTTCTCTACTTACCTATACAGATTTATAACATTATGATAACTCATAAATTATACGTAGGTCTTTGTACAGTTATTTATAATTTTTTTTACGTCATAAGATATTTAACAAAAAAAAAAAAAAAAAAAAAAATGTAAAAAGAACTTCGCTGTCAATTTAAATAAATAATTTTTGAACGGGCAAATTTGTTTAAACCGAACGAATTTCGTTCGAATCAAATTACCGAATTTCATGTAAGTAAAATTAAGTAAATACCTCATCAAAGAGAATAAGCAATTTCAAAACGCCCAAGTATATACCCCTATAAGTGGAGGATCTAAGGATTTTTTAAGGGAGGAGGGAGCAAACTGATATCATGGGTACCAAAATTACAAGACAGTAGCCGAAATTAAATTTCAGGGGAAAGGAGGATTCAGTATTTGTTTAATTTAATTTAATATTATAATAATAATTTTTTACGTACTAAAACGTTTATCATTGGATACCTTTTTCACCCATTTGTATTTCTTTCGAAAAATACAAATTCATCGCCACGTCCTCTCCTCAAATCTGCCCTTACAGTGTACTACAATTATCATACAAAAATCGGTGATATACTAAATATAGAGTTTAAAAGTGAATGCGAAATCATGGAAAATATTCTGTTTGGAAGGACTTAAGCAAATTTAGAATTTAAAATGATTATAATGACACTTGTATACATCTCACGGATAGTGTTTAAATTAGTTTTATTTATTTTTTTTTTATTTTTAGAATAATATGCTATACTTTTGTCACCCTTAGTTGTCAGCGTGATGTGTATATATCAAAAAAAAAAAAAACAAAAACGATTCAAAAATATTTAAAATGACAAAATACGAGACAATACAAAGTTCTAAGTTCACATTCAATTTGAAATGTTTTGGCAAAAATGTTTATACGTCATAACATAAAAGAAATTTTAAACACAAAATAAGTGTCCAAGGTTTTTAATACCAAAATAACGTAAGAAAATATTTGTTTAGGAAAACTTTTTTACTCGGATATTAACAACGCGATATTTTTTTTAAACACACATTTATATATGTTTCATTATTGTATTTTTATAATTTTTCGTTCGTTTAAAAAACACAATAATGATGGAAATCGTGTAGTGTTCTCGTATGCGTTGGTTTTATTTTTGAGTGGACCATTAAATAACTCGCGACAAGTGAGTAAATATAAAAGAAAAAATACAAATACAAAATAAACACGAGTCTCGGACGAATTCGATGAAATTACGATTTATATAGCATTTAATAATTATTATTACAATAAAAAACGATTTTGTTCGGGAAAAAAAATTAATTGGTGCGTACGACCAGCAGTGGCGTCAGACAGGTACTAAAAATAATGAGAAGAATTCAGATGATGTAGACTGCAAGGCGATGTTAGTCATTTGGTTTTTTTTTTTTATTCTTTTGGTCCAATAACCTGCACATTAACTACAACCATTTTTTTCATATTATATACGATTGTTATTTTATTTTCCTTCTTTTTATTTTTAAAATAATTTTTTGGAGTTTTTCGTTATTATACAATTTTTGTTTTTCCTCGTATTGTTTTTTAACCATTTATCGCAAACGATTATCGGCCGTGTATTAATTATAAAATTGAGTTGTACTAATTGATATAAAATGTATACGGTCGCGAATGTATTGGGTTTACTACGACGTGTTTTTCTTTTTTGGTTCTATAAATATCTCGTTTCGACCCAAAACTTTATGGAGACATTCTTGTAACATATTTAATCAAGTCGGGGATATGTTTTATTATTTCTTGTGGATTTTTATTTTTCAGCATATGGGATAAAGTGGAGATTTTTAGTATATACTTCGTCGATACTTCGACAACAAGGGGGAAAATGTCACTAATAATATTCTGCGTGGAATCGTTTTTCAATAGCAATGGTTTATCGTTGTGTACAGCTATAAATTAAATTACTCTAAATCATATCGTCTTTTCCAAACGCGCTTCCTAAAACAGCGGCACGCCTGTCAGTTTAGTGTTAGCGTTTTTAAGATGGTGGTTAAATTTAGTGGTTTATCATTATTGTTATTTTTATTATATATTTTAATTTTAAAAGCAATACAAAACATTCGAATCTATTATATATGTAATAATACGAGCTATACAGAATTTCGTTAAACAGTAAAAGCGATTTATTGTATTGATGTGTATAATATAGGTACGATAATAATATTATAGCACTATCTCACCGTTTTAAGTCCGAGCTCAAATATAACGGATAATGGCGGCAATGTATTTGTACGGCGGTTTATGCACACCGAGCGTGCATTTAAATCCGATATTTCGGGGTTCTCGATTTCGTACCCGAACCGCAGTGATGAGTATTGATATTATTATTGAAAGGGGCCGCTGGTCGGCGAGCTATTGTTAAATACAGTTTCGAAGTTTAGGGTGCGCAGAGTAAAATGGACAGAAAGAGAGAGACAGAGAGACATACAGAGAAAGGGAGAGAATTGCTCATAAATAATCCCAGAGAGTATGAATGTTACGTAAATTATTATTATATCGAAGTTACACCGCTGTGCATAAACAAATTATAACAATTTATAATTATTTAAACACCCGATTACGGGTTCGATTGCGTTTAAATCGTCTATAAAGATAATTTACGATTGGATTTCAAATATCCTCGGGCCAAACTTTGCTTTATTATAACTTTTAATTATGCCGCCAGTGCGTTTATAATAAATCGTTAAACGAAAAGGACACTGCAGTTTAGCCCGTATTAAAGATCAGCGAGCGTTAAAAAAAACTCAATGTATTTCGCACCGTGGGTAGGCCTCACTCACTGTTTAACTGGAAGTCGCATACATATGAGACTAGCTGTCTCGCCCGGCTTTACATATGCAATGAACAAAGTTTCTCCCTGTGTTCGCCGAACAGGTAATAAATGCACGTGAAGGTATTTTTTTTGGTGTACCTAAATAGCGATATAGACTCGTTATTGACACAGCTTTAGCGTGTTTTTCGATTATTTACAGAAATGAATAACTAGATTATTTATTAACTTACATGATATTGTGATCCGTCTTATTCCGTGAATTACTCTATCATTAAAAAAAAAAAAAAAAATGACACAACGGTCGAAATAGTAGTTCCAGAGATCGTTCATTAAAATTGTTATAAAGATTCTCATTTTCACATTTATAAGTCATTAGATAAATAGGGCAATTTAGTTTTACACGCCGAAGGAAACGATAAATCGTCGTAAGTAGGGATGCGAACGGAAGGCGGGTCATGGTAATTAATACGAATTACCTCCTTAACGCACATGCGATTAGATCCGAAATTAAATTATCGATCGGAGTGAATATTTCTGCAGGTCGAACAGACTTCTTCACAGTCAGAAAATACAATTTAAAATACAACGCATACATGTTTAAGTAAAACAATTACGTCCACTCAGAATCTGAAAAATAATAATACCGCCGTAAACGTTTTATACAAATATGTATAAATTTCTAATTTATCTACATAATATGTTTGTAATACCTGTATAGTCGTAACCGGGTTATTACTTTCGGTTTATTTTAAATCGCATAACCGAACCGAAATACGAAATAATAATAAAATTCAATATATTCGTACTTATAGGTCAGGTCAGCCCAGTCTGTTTTACGATGTTTTTTGACCGTAAAACAGAAATTCTTTAAGACAATACTATAAAAGTAAAAATGTTATATATATACATAGGTAAATTCTGGAGAAATATAATTTAATGTGCAATTTTAACTTTTGAAGTTTGAAAGAACGAAATTCTTCAATAAAAGTCCTGTAGATATATATAGGTACTCGTATAAAATATAATATGATAAATTAAGTTTTTAATGCACAAGGGAAATACTGCGCTCTTGCATATATAGCGTAGCTGAAGGAAACTTGCACAACTTTATTTTATTCGAAAAGAATTCTCGATGAATATTTAACCCGAGGCCTAAAATATTATAAACCCGTAAATAGTAGATTTAAAAAACACGTCTATAATACTATATTATTAGTTTCCGCAATGTTTCAGAGAAAAATTTTGGTATTTTCTCACGATAAAAATATTTCAAGTAATTTAAATTTGAAATGATAATCAAATAATGAATTTAGAAAAAAATATTCAAGATTCAACAACAAAGGTCTCTTGGTATTAAAATGTTTTTGATTGAAGAAAGATTTCTAGCAGAAAAGTTGTAGACGGACATAAAAAAATATAGCATACGTCGTGTTTAAACTATTATATTCCTAAATACGCACATAATATACTACAGTATTCGACATCACTAACAATCATTTTAACGTGTAATAATTGTTATACTACTAGTACAATTTTTTAAAATTATCTTTAGCTGTAATAATGTGCTTATTTTTACAAATCCCAGCAATAAGTGTACTCTAAATCGTTTTGCAAATGTAACGTTGTAATCAATCGTGTGATTAATATCTATTTCGTTATTACAGTTAAACGCGTTTTGAGCTTTTAACGACAGAATATACAGACACGATGTAGTTTTCTAACCCATCGCCGCGATTAGGATTAATCGGGATTTGGAAACAATGATGAAAATCCAGTCGATATTTTATAAACTCGATACTTTATTCCCATTTAATATTTGTTACACAATGTTACGTATGATTTATTATTTATGTTAACAACTTCGCCGTAAAGATGGTTTTTTCTCCTCAAGTTTACTAAGTTTATCTTTTAAACATATTATATTATTTAGTTTAGTTTAATGTTTTATTCAAAAACTACAAGTTCTTAATACGTCACTTAGTGCAGACGGTTTTTCATGTTTTAAATTTGTCTTTACCTTACAGATTAGGAAAAAATTCTTAGAAATTAGACAATTGGTAAACATTTCGCTTCTTAAAAGTTACACGAGGGGAAAAAAAGAAATCAGAGATTTTTAACTAAACGTAAAGCGTTTTCTAGGAAAAGAAAAAAATGTCTTAATACATGTTTTTCTTTCATAACTTTATAGGTACTTAGAATCTAATAAATATCGAGTTAAACGCTATGTCTATAACATTCGTATATGCTATGTAATATAACATGAGTACATTTTTGAGAAACGTAGAACAATGAAATTATAGAAACATATGTGTGTACCTTATCTTATTAAATTGCAAGGGGCATAGAAACTATAGAAAATTCTGAAAGTAAAACACCCTATATTTTTAAAGAGGAACGACAATAAAATATCATTATGTGCTCGTTATTATTATTATCATGCCGTAATAGATGGCAGAGCGTCTGAAAATTGTTTATATTGTACGATTCGTATTGAAATTTGGCAACGTTTGTGCTTAAATGTTGTTTTTTTTTGTTTTATATCGTAGGTCCATATAGAATTTCTCAAATGGTTAACGCGCTTTTTGGAACATATACTCATATATATATATATATATATATAGTTTATACGTGTAATAATAACCTCGCTTTTATTTTTTTTTGCAATTATGTTTATGTACGTTTATTTTAATTATATATACAGTAGTGTTGCTTAGCCGTTTTAACAGTATCAATTTATAATTTAGCCGAGTTTAATCAACGACAAAGTTTGGCCACGACCCGATTATAACAATGATTATAATAATAATTATCGGGTATGTGCACGGAAAGTTTAAAACGATTGCATGCCGTTTATAAATGGACTTTTAACTACTATACCGGGTGTATACAATAAATTACGGTATGCATTTATTCTTTTAATCCCGTGCATATTTAATAAATATTCTACATAATATATAAGATCGTATTCAAACGTTTCCTATACACTGGCTGAGAAAAAAAAGACCAAATTCAAATTTACTCCAAATATTAATAGATGGTTAAACACGGTAAAAATCACCCTCGGCGACGTGCGCAGAGACGATGTAAATAACTTCCATTCTCACATTAACTTAAAAATTTAAAAAAAAAAAACGTGTTTTTTTAGTATTGTTATTTCAAATTATGTATACAATATTAAAATTATCGGTGAAAAGCGTGATATATAGAATAAAAATTTGCTTTTTAGAAACCAGATTTTAAGTTCTCGTTACTGTATCATGAATCGTGATTGTTATTGGTATATTAAATTCAATTCCATTGAAAATTCCCGGGCACATCACTGCTGATCACCCGTTATATAAAAGTTATAAAAACAAAATTGCGGACCTCAATATTTATTTATATAAAATAAAAACATGTATTTTTCGCCGAATAATGTATGTATGTCATTCTGAGTACTGCCATATAAGCAAAGTAAACGTGAAGGAAATTACTAAAACCATTCGTAGGTAGATACTAACTTTTTATTACACGATTGTCAATTGTGATTTGGGCGACAATACTATATTATATGGAAGCAGTATATTTTAGAAGTTCTATGGGATGTGTCGAGACTTTTTCGGAGAAAAGGAAGAAACAACGCTTTACGCGAAATGACTTTATTATCGATCAGTCTACAAAAGTAGTCTCCAGAGTAATAGGAAAACGAACAAACGTGGCATGAACATTAAAATGGACTGAAACAAACGTCCTTGTCATCGTTGTCGCAGTTCACCACACATTTGATTTTTGAAAATAAAAATGAATACTTCAGTAAACTTTGCGTCATTTCCCATACCCATACCGTATTGCAGTACAAACAAATAACTTCAAAAATAATAAGCCTGTGTTCGCAATAATACATTATGGTACCTATACAAATTCACTACCGAGCTATAGAATTATTCGATTTATCGAGATTATGAAATTTACGATTAGCGTTCAAATTGTGTCTGGAGGGAGAAAGAATTTGTTAAAACATTTTATTAAAAAATAATATAAAAAAAAAAACCTTAATATTAAAAAAAAGGACATTACGTTGGCGGGAACTACAATCTGGTTAAAAGCGTTATTTTAAGTGCTGAAGTGCTAGAAGGTTTTATTTATTAATTTTGGTAATTATTACTAATAATATCGATTATTTTACGATGCTGAAAATTCGGCATTTTAGAGGGGAGTATCTTTCATATTCTTATATGACCTGAAATAGAAATTTCGAAGACATTTTTTCCGTAGAGAAAATTTTTCACGAGGAGTATTTAAATAGATTCCCGGTATCTTTTAAATCATTAGCGAGACTTCCAAGATGTATATAAGTATATATTTATTACACTGCGTGATACCGAGAAAAATCATCTTTACTTACTTTGAAACCTTTGTACCATTCCTTGATAGTGGCTTCATCGTATCTCGTATGGGATTTCAAGAAATCCATGTCTTCCTTGGATAGCTTGTCTTTGCTACCGAAACAGCCCATGACGACGTCTGCAACAGAATAAAAACACACGACGACGGTTAGATATAAATATTAAAAAAAAAATACATATGTATGTATGATACTATTCATGGTGTATAGTAACGATGAAGGGAGATTTTCGTACAGGATATACGAGTATATAATATACGACGCGATTTCCGGTAGAAATTAACCGAGTATTAAAAAAAAAAAAAAACTACATCTCTTTCGTTTTTATTGTGTTTCTATCAACGGCAAGCATATTCACTATATATACGTGTCCTGATGCCTGACGACGACGCAGACGACGCGTATTCCTCCTAAATTGAAAGCTTCCTGCGCACGCCAATGAAACCACTCGACCCGGATTTCGGTGATTGATGCGACGTACACGCACGTGTGGTACGTACGTATACATGAAAAATGCTTTCTAATCGCAATAACCGCGCCGATATTTAATCCGGGGCCAAGAGGGAGGTTGTATATAAGTTGTAACACGTGTCGTAACGATTTTTTTTTTTTCAGAATATAAAAAAAAAACACGCGAAAATCCGGAAAAATATCGTATACGCTCAAAGATATATGAGGGTATACACATTATATACAGGGTAATTCATTCATCAAGGAATAGCGATTTTATCGGAGGATTTAAAGTGAATATGATTTATGCATGTCTTTTTTCTTTTTTTTTTTTTAAATCGTTCTGATCGAATCGTTTAAGTTTATTATTTTAACACTGTTTTCTATTTGTTTCGCGTACATTATTTATGTACATGTATATTGTATATATATATATATATATATATTACATCAATGTACACTGTTGTGATTTTCGGATAGGAACCGCTCTTGACTCTCTTTTAAACACAAATGCAAATAGAGGTTCTTTCGATTCCACGATGATTGAAGAAAAAAAAAAACAGAAATAAAATTCACTCCGATAAAAACGCCGGTTTGTGATAAATGAATCGCTCTGTATGGTATATTATACATGATTACCGATTTTTATTATTGTATACTCGCATCGTTTCTGGGGTGGGAGGGGGGTTAAAGGAGGATACGCACGTGCAGATTTATCGGTATTCCGTCATCTTATTGAATTATTATATATTATTGTAATGACTCGCGGCGATGGTTTTGACGGATAGAATCCCTTCGAAAATATACGACTCGTGCGTACTTTCGGATCCGTTAATATCCGAAGACGCGTGGCCGATTTACGTAGCGGATTAATGTTCACGAAAACGCGGTTCGCCGTTTCCGATCAATTTTCTAAATATTATGAAACGCGTGTCGTACAATAATAGTACTGTACTTTCGTAGTCTATCTTCTGAAAATCACCGCGGTGTAAAAAAGAATAGCCATGTTAGTATTTTCGGCATTTTTAAAGCGAATTTTCCCTATATAAAACGTACATTTTTTCTTCTAGATTAACTATCTTAATTCAATAAACGATTACTGCAACTTTGGTGCGAAATAAAACGCGTGTCTTACCAACAATCAGACGGTCGTATTACAAGGTTACCATTATTAAATAAGGGCACTATAGCGTCATCGTGATTACTTCGCTCAACCTCAAAACAATATATTGAACATACTCGTGATCACGGCTGTAGATAGTGTAGTTGCAAAACCGGTGCGTTAAATTGTATAAAACGTCAGCAAAACAAAATGTTCTCCTGATTCTACCCGAGATTCAGTAGCATCATCGATCGTTTCGATATCAAATATCTTATTTAATTTCTAAATTAATAATTATTACGATTATCACTAGTGATCTACTGCTATGTAAGTGTGATTACTATATTAGTCCACCGGGAGCAATATATGTTCCCGGGTTTTTCGTGAAAAGCGTTTACGCATACCATACTAGTCGTATTAGTGATAAGTCGCGGCGATCACCATGTCATATGTTCCTACAGAAACCAAATATTTTTCAAATGTATCGATTTTTACAACGTACCCTATCAAAACGATAATTTCATCGTCATCGTCGTCTCTACAGCAAGTTACTGTTTAACGTTAAAAACTTCATACATAGTGAATGACCCTCGGGACGAAAATATACAATAAGAATGGTTTTTGTAAGCGTAGATAACAATTTCCATTTGGTCCGTATCACGTATGTTATGTTAACAAGCTATTAGTCTTCGCTCCGCCACCGTCACCGCTACCACCACCGCCACCGTATCCAATTTCGTGTACCACCGTATTACACGCATTATAATATGGTGATGGCGCATAATGGTATAATACGACGACGGTGGTGATTATAAGGAAATATATACATATTATATATTATACAATATAATATATATGAAAATGTACCGCAAAACGTATACGACAACGGGAGACGTTTAACATCACGTTCCTTCCCCTACCTCTCTCTAACTCTCGTATATATATACGTATACGACCACAAAACACAATATAATATGATAATGTTATATTATATATAATAATATATACACTGCGCAGTTCAGGAATACGATATATTATTATGCGTCTGATCTCGCGAACGATACGCGCGCTCTGGACCGGAAGGTATTTGTCTGATCGAAAACCACCGCGGTTGGGTCATATGAGAAGCGTACAGTACAGTACAGTACGAGCGGAAAAAGCGGAAGGGGAAAAAATCGATAAAATGCGCAAATGCAAATCTATAGCGTGTCGAAACGATCGTTTCGTATCGGATAATCAAGACTATTGCATGCTTTCTGGGTCACCGTTCGAAAAAAAAGGCTGTTCGACATTATCAAAAAACAAAAAAGCCCGAAATGCTAAAATGAAAAAAAAAGGCCTTTCGACGAAAATAATAAAATAAACGAAATTATCGCAAAAAAGTTTCGATTTTGAAGTGTCAAATAAATTACTATCTACCACACGCATAGAATTATATTGACTTGAAAACGATTATAATGTAACCCTAAAGGACCGAAAAAAAAAAACCAAACAAACAAACCATAATAATAGAACGATTGCCAAATATTTTCGGTACGGACAAAGAAATACACAAATACTATTATGAAAACAAATGATTTTAAAATGCTAAGTAAAAAATTAAAATTTCGCTTTCAAAACATATGCAGTTACGCACAAATCGAGTCAAGTACACGTTGAATGTCCTCAGAAAAAAAAAACACTTTGCAATGGAATCCGAACCCATATAATATTATTGCGTTAAATATATCGTGCGGTTTTCCTATTTTGTGGACCGTTTTAATTGTCACAGTCGTTTGCGTATTATTTTCCGTCCTCTGAAATTATTCCCCGTCAAAAACACTCGAAGAGCACAGGAGAAGAAAGGCGTTTTAGAAAATTGTTCTTGTCGATTCGGTATATTCAATTTTTCACCTTCAATATTAGCCAAATGAAATCGTTTTTCGCCGAACAACCTTCAAAATTCAGCATTCGAATGGTACCATCACTCAAAATTGAAAAAAAACAACTACTTCTTGCCGCGTGCCTATCACGATTATTATTAAATAATATTATTATAATGCGAGTTTTGAAATACTAATAATAGTCGACACGCAAAGAAGAAAACCGAATAGTTTGAGGGTACGAAAATTGATGTATATAAAAAAAAAAAATCACGTTTCTCCAGATCATTTAAATATACATTGAATGTATTATACCTGTAGTAATAGGGAATTTGTATTTTTCAACACAAAAAAATTAATTGAATTCAAATGAATATATTAATTTTGGGATAAAACATATGTCGGTGGCTAAAATACCGTTCCTGCTGGAATATTTTCGTGCCTGAGTTCCGCTTTTACGTTTCGAATTTTTCCGGTCTCGTACAAATACCATAAATTCGGCAAGCGTTTTGACCTATTTAAATATAAATTAAATTAACTGCAGATGTCTCTCTTTTTCCCTCTTTCTTTAAAATAATATCAACCGAATTTCGCAAAAAACATATTAAAATATTTTTTTTTTATATTCCAATAGGTTTTTTTTTTCGCGAGGAACATTTACGAATAACACGGGCTAACGGCGGCGTTTATTATTATATTTCGTCGTCGTAAAACGCCGCCGTACAAACTCATATTGTAATTTGGTTTTTTTTTTTGCTTTTTTATCTTTTTAAACGCATCATATAAATTCAGCGTGCAGCAGTCTGGTCTGTCGTTAAATCTTCTTTAACGTTAAAAATAATTGCTCATTACTGCAGCAGTAGACTATAATAGTAATAATGATAATACTTCTGCGCATATTAAAATTCGATGCAGGCCATTACGTCGTCGTCGAGGATCGTTACATATTCAGCGAATACATACGCGATTTTTTTTTTTTTTTTTTTTTTTTTTTTTTTTTTCAGTAAAATGTCTATTTTATCTATATACAGGGTAATCACTATGTTATCACGAACCGACTGCTGCTGTCATCGACTATAATATAGGAACCTATAATAAAAAGATTTCGAGTAAAATTCGATTATTTTTTTTCGAGACATTAGAATACTCGTTTAAATATCTCATATACGGTAGCACGGTTTTAATATGTTTTACCAACATAATTTTAAAATTACGATTTCTAAAAAAAAAAAAACCTAAAATCAAACCGTTACTCAAAATGTATACATATATATATTTCGGATTTATGAATTATTATCGTATCTTGCTGATTACTAATATTTACCCAACTGATTATTAATATAAATATGTAATTATAAAATAGAGTATTGTCAATTCCTCCGGATTCACTTTGCATACATACTATAGCAAGCTACTTTAAAACATGATTTATACAAATAATTTTAAGAAAATGAGCTGATATTGCTATTGGATATGTCACGGTTATAGAGAATATTTATAAAAATAATAAAAAAAATATCAGATCTCTGCAATTATTTTTAATTTAATTACAACAATTAACGTATTTTAAAATTATTAAACTTTTATTTCCCTATGTTTTTTTAATTATTAAGTAAACTACAAAACACCACTGGATAAAATTTGCTTTGGTGATACACTTGAAAATCGGAAATTCTCGAAAATGATTTTTGGAAAAA